CTTGCTATCTACATGATCTAAGTGGTAATTTTTTTTAAAAAAATATGTATACTGGTATATTATTTAAAAAGTACATATTATACAAAAAATACCGACTAACCGGTTATGAAAATCATAACCCGTCATCCCATACTAAACCGGTTACTATATTTCTGACTGATTAGATGGTTACCCAGTTGACCATTGCCATCCCTAATAAATTTTTTACATGTATAAGTTATGTGCATTTCCTTTGTGAAATCATGAAAAAAAAACTAACTAATCCCTATTTATATTATATTTTGTAATTACATCCTCAAAATTGACTGCATGTAAACATCTATTTAATAGTCTAGAGTACTTTTTACAAATAATACATGGAAAATGTGACAGTATCTTTGAACTCTGTTTGATGGTTTCATTAGGGGTGTCAATGAATATTGGAGTCCTCGACTATCATTCAATCATATTGACTATCGACTAAAATTTGTTAAGTCGGTTGTTCGTTTAAAATTTGCTACTCTTAAATTCAATTTAAAAAAAAAAAATTGGATCTGCTCAGTTCATTTATTAACGTATCAGTGTTCAAACTCAGGGAAAGGCTTAACCAGTCTTTGTTAATTGTTCAAAGGAATTTTGTTGTTCGACAAACATGCATTGGCATACTTTAAAAGATGTCGGATCCAAATTGTAAAGTTTCAACCTGCAATTTCGTAAGATCTCAGATCTCATATAATGCAACTACCAATTAATGAAGAATAATAAAACTTTATAAATACATGTAAATTGGGGAATGGTTATGAGCATAATTCAAAGGTGTTTCTTTCTGATATTAATATCAATCATTTTTAAATTGTATTGATTGAATGCAAAAAATCTCATAATTAAAATTTTTGTTTTTATGAGTTACACTTTAATTGTTTAACAATCACGGGTCACTGACAAGATACATTCAAATGGCTTCAGGTAAGAAATCAATAACGGGTACATGTACTAGCAGCAGGAAAAGAAAGGATAAATACGAGCATTTGATGTTCTGTATATAGATAAAATGTGCAGTCAGTGATTTTTTTAGAGCCGACTTGGGGCCGAAATTCGGCCCCAGTCCCAATTGAAAATATGCCTGTATTTTCCCAAAATGAAATGGAAGTTTTCCCAAAGAAAAACTTACAAAATATGTGATCAAATTTAGTTTGTTTATTGCATGTTTTTCAAGCAGGTTTTGTTGTTCAGGTGGCAGGGGATAGTTTCGTACTAAAGACCCGGTCAAATTTCTTAAAGAATTGAGATATCCCCTGTTTGATGTGATATTTTATGTAGAAAAATGATTAGAATAATTATGGGACACATTTGCAGTGTAGTAGAGTGCTTGCTGAAATAAATAATGTGCAACATGTAGGTGTCACTATAACGCTTATATACAGAGTTGTAAATGCGAACCTAAGACACATGGTCAGTTGCAGAGGAAATTCACTGAAAAGCAGTAGGCCTTAGAAGAAGGTGTGTATCTCAGAGGGAAGATGAATGGCCCCATATCAATTGGTGAATTTTCATTAGGGCATGCATTGATTTACAGACTACTGGGTGTTTTATCCTGCTCGCTCGGGCCTGGGGGTGGGTTGTATGGGTACGACTGAGGCCCAAATCTTGGAAAAACAAGCCAAAATTTGGGGAGACTCCAGGTGTATTTTTGGTACATGTGCACTCTACTAGGCAAATTACATGTAATTTGTTGACATAATTTGTGAGCCATGGGCATATGAAGTGTAATTAATTAGCCCCTGGAAAACTGTCCCCATGTACATGTTTTTATGGATCGCATGTATGTGTGTACCCCCTCGGCACATGTTTGGCATTTAAAAAAACTATCCTCTGCCACCTTCAAGAAAACACCAATTTTCAGAAATATGTAATCTAGTCTAATTCTTACGATGGCCGATATCAGTCTGTCTGAAATAAAATTACACGGCCTATAATTTTGTCTTTTGTACATGTACATTTCTTGAAATTTGTACATGTACAAAAATATAAAAAGTTACAATTTTGCTTAAAGACAAAATGTACATGTACAATTCTTTAAAATTGCACATGTACAGACAAAAAAATCTATAGCAGTATATAAAAGAACTTCTTGAGTTCAGATCACACCTTCAAACAGAGAATAGGAGGTAACTGAGACTGACCCAATTATTAATGAATCCTTGGCTTTAAACAGAGTCATAACGCTACATAAAACCAAGAAAACAAAGAAAATACAGAATGTTCCAATAACAATGTATGACCCAAGAATCAAAGGTCTGAAATCCAAATTATCAAAATACTGGTCATTGGTTTTAAAAGATGAAACACGCAAATAAATCTTTCAAACAAAATTAATGATTGCATATGCTATACATAAAAGTATTGGTAATTTGCTGACAAAAGCTATTTTGCCATATAGAAATTACGGTTTGATCCCTGATGAAGGCGGAACCGTGATATATATTTTTAATACACCATTACGATATCAAACCGCCGAAACACATTGTTGTCACATAACAATTAATACAGTCAATATAAAAAAGGAAATAAAATAATCGCAGCACTGTGTCGGGTCCTCTAAATTTTGAATGGCGTGGCTGATGGATGTTGCCTAAATGCACCTGCTACAGATTTTTGTGTCTGTACATGTACAAATTTAAAGAAATGTATATGTACATTTTGTCTTTTCGCGAAATTGTAACTTTTTATATTTTTGTACATGTAAGAAATGTAAATGTACAAAAGACAAAATTATAGGCTGTGTATTTTATTTTAGACAGTCTGATATCGGCCATCGTAAATTCTTCTCTAAATAAGTTTATTGATGTATGCCATTTTCAAAACTCACCATATTTCTTTTATTTGACTCTTATTCATTTAGGTAGAGAGACCTAAACACAAGGGGGGTAAACCTTTCCCAGTACACATTTTCAAAGAGTTTGAAGCATCAGCATAACAAATCTTAACAGAGTAAGGCAATTTTTGTCTGAAAAAAAATTATTTGTTTGAAAATAATAGTTTGGGCACTGTCACATATATTTTATCAAATTTTGATGCAATCACTTAGTATTAATTAAAATTAAAGGGGCTCAGTTATTGCCATATCACTGAAATTACAAATTATAAACTTACTCTTTTTTACATGTATTTTCACTAAATATCATTATTTTGAGAAAAGAATGAGTCAGTATGCAAAAAATATCAGTTCACAGAACCACATTTATTCAAAGAATTGCTGTGCTTTAATTTTTTTTCAAATTAGACCCATCTTACTATTGATAATTACATAAAAAATAATACCCCCTTCCCCTTCATTTTCCCCCTCATTTGTCTTCTATAATGTGATAGAACTTAAACTTTTCATTATTTTCATATAGAATATATATTTTTCTTTAAATCATAACAAAACAGATGGTCTTTTTGCATATTTAATGAACAAAATATCAGAAATATGTACATTTTCATGTAATTATTTGATTCTACTAAACACCTGAAATTTACTCACAAATGCCAAGTAAGGACAGGATGATCACTTTAATTATTCAGGGGAATCAAATGCATGTATTTGATCACTCAGGTACATTGAAATTGAATGGAAATATACTCAGAAAAAGGACAGTCAGTAAAATCAGATTTCCACAGTATATTTTCTATGGAATCAGGTAATGGTTGGAGGGGCAGGGTAGATAACTGCAATTTTCAGGACACTTCTTCTGAACCTTTGATGCAAGAGGGGTTTTTGTATATTACAATAAATATCCTGAAAAATAGATTAGGTTTTCTTTTTGGAAACAAGCTATAGATGTATAAATTCATGCAATTAAGAGGTAAAATGGGATTTCTCAAAACATCAAAAATAGGAGAGTATGTGTTTCATGTGAGTACATTTCATGAAGGCATGCAATTCTTATTGAATTTTTTATATGTAGCTGCATTTGAAATTGATCAAAGTTACCATTAAACACTGTTTGGATAAGAAATAGATTCTTTTGGATTGTAGGAGTTGGTCATTTTTGAAGTAACACTAAGAATATTGGGTTAAGGTGGTTGACCGACAATTGGTGGGGTCACTTATTTGCCTCTAACATTTTTATTTTTCATTGAAATAAGACATATTTAGTATATTTTTACTCAGAATTGATTGCACTTTCTAAATATGGAAAGTTATTTTAATTAAAAAGCAAACTTTGAAAGTTAAATGTGGCAGGGGATAGTTTCGTACTAAAGACCCGGTCAAATTTCTTAAAAAATTGAGATATCCCCTGTTTGATGTGATATTTTATGTAGAAAAATGATTAGAATAATTATGGGACACATTTGCAGTGTAGCAAAGTGCTTGCTGAAAAAAATGATGTGCAACTTGTAGGTGTCACTATGAGGCTTATCATATACAGAGTTGTAAATGCGAACCTAAGACACGTGGTCAGTTGCAGAGGAAATTCAGCTGAAAAGCAGTAGGCCTTAGAAGAAGGTGTGTATCTCAGAGGGAAGATGAATGGCCCCATATCAGTTGGTGAATTTTCATTAGGGCATGCATTGATTTACAGACTACTGGGTGTTTTATCCTGCTCGCTCGGGCCTGGGGGTGGGTTGTATGGGTGCGACTGAGGCCCAAATCTGCCTGTACGAAATTGTACGCCTGGTAATAACACGTAAACCAGGCGTCATGCTCTGCAAAAACCAGGCGGATTTTGACTCAATACCATATAAGTAAACCAGGCGTCAAATGAGACGGAAACCAGGCGTAAAAAGAGGCGTAATATGCAAATTTTACGCCTCTTCAATAGACCAGGCGTAAAGGATCGTACCGTCCAGGCGTAAAAATGTCCAGGCGTAAAAAAGTTCAGGCGTACAATACACAATGATATATACAAAATACATTACATGTTTTGAAAACTAAGTATTTATTTTATCAAAACATCCATATCTTAGTATCAATTTATATAACATTCAAAGGCAGTTTTTCTGAACATTTTGATGGACAACAAAATGTCATTCAAATAAACTTTACATTAATAAATCTTCCCATTTAAGGAAAATTCAAAATTTGTATTATACAAAAATTATAAATTATCTTGAAAATACAGTGTACCAATCTCTGATGACTTTGTATTACAGCAGAGATGCTTATAATGAATTCATGGTTATAGTGATTTTCATTTCCTTAAATTTTAGAATATTGCTGTGAACTTAATGGATATAATGAACTACGCCTAATCAAAATTGTTCATTCATTGTACTTCGCAATAAGTGTGTTTTACATTAGCTTATCTTGTATCGTGCACTGAGCTCTTCTTAGCATTCTCATATTTTTCTTTCCCATGTTCCTTTTTAAATTTTTGTCCTGCAATGAGACTTGCTCTGTGATGGCATTGTTCAGTTCTTGGTTCACTTTTTTTCCTTCATTTTCTCCACACCACTAAAGGGCATAACCTGAAGGAAAATTGTAGCCATGCTTTAATGTAGGTCTGAAATCACATGCATTATGTCCAACAAGATCAGTATTTACAATTAGAGAAAAAAAAAATTGTTGTATTACATAATGGGTTGACAGGAAAACAAACAGACAGACCAAACACTATATATCCCCAGTCCTTCAATTGGGGGCATGAAAATCTTACCCCTTCAGATATTCCAGGGGGTGAAATATCCTGGTCATTCTCCCTTGGTTTTTCTGAAGAAGGAGGATTTGGACACAGGAAGCCTGCTTCTTGATTATCTGGATGATAGGAATAGAAATATATTACAGCCGTGCATATAGTTAAATATATCAAATATTGAATGTGTATTTTACAAATACTTTATTTAGGTTTTTATTTTTTTTATTATTATCTAACCTCAACACAATCCTCCATGGGATGAAATGCTAATATCTACTACTACTACCAATGAAAGAATGTTGGTAGTAGAGTGTTTTCTCAAGGGAGGAGTTTTGTGACTTGGTATCTTCTTTTCCTTGGGACTTAGCTCCTGTTTCTTCTCTCTTGTATCCTCAGTGTTTTTTTCTTCTTATTTGGGATAAACTCTTCATCATGTTCCTTAATTTCTTTTATTTTGTCTGTTGGAGCCCTTGTTCTCTTCCCATTTGCTTTCTCTGTGTTTAGATTGAGAAATTAAACAGTCTCTCTGGAATATCTTTTGCTTTCTCCTGCAAGTTTCCCAATAATTTGCTGCATGCCGAATAGCAAACTTTGTTAGTTCCTCTTCATCATCTACAAATACACACACATATAACAAAATTATCACCAAGAAATGTGAGCTTTGTGTAGCATATCTGAGCTTGACCCCCCCCCCCCTTTTAAGAAACACAAAACAGACCCCTTGTAAGTCAGTAGGAAGGAACGAATACAAGAAAGTTATTAATATATATATATATATATATATATATATATATATATATATATATATATATATATATATATATATATATATATATATATATATTGATTGGGTATGAAAAGTTTCCGATCCACCTATGCATTGTAGCAACCCATTAAACATCACCTTAACCATGTTAACATGGTCAGCTTATCAGAAAGTGCACTCTATTTGTTATCAGGACAGCTTTTGATTAAAATTACTGTAATTATTTTGTCTAGTAAAATTTTTAAGACAGCCACCGCGCCGTGTGGCAAATTTATAATTCATACCATCATACCATGTTGTGATCCATGCGACTTTATATTTCCCTCATCTTGAACCCGACTTTAAAAAAAAAAAAGGTGGAAAATGTCTCGTATATTTTTTGTTTTGTATATATTTTTTCGAAATGATAAATACTAAAAATGATAATTATGCGATAGAAAGATAATTTAAAAAAAAAATCATGGAGTATACAACAGCAGTAGTTTACAAATACGACAGGTCTCCAAGCGTAAACAAACACGCATGCTACATGTAATCTAATCATTAACCATGTTAACAGAATGATTTTAAAAGCACATTTCTTAAATTTTTATAGATAATACTATATGGTATATTTCAAAGTGTTAACCTCGCTGGAGTATGAAAATCTAAAAAATTCTTACATTGATGATGGGGCCATGAATGATGGTATCTCACTTCGGATTCCGTCCTTATTGTCAACGTTTTGTCTTTTTCTCCCACGACAGTCAAACTGCAATCCTCATCGAAGTATTTTCACTTTCAAGTAAAACCAAGTTGTCAGAAACAAGTAGAAATCGGCAGGGCAATGTTTCTTTCAAAGCAACAGAATTTGAAATGACCATGCGGGCGGGATTTTGATAGCGTGGGATATCAAGTTTCTGCAGCCCCGGTTCGAAGATGCTCTACTGTTGAGGTTCACGACGGGATCGATACAAAAGATATTACAAACTTTTCCCCAAAAACGTCTCTCAAAATAATAAAATGCGTTCTTTTAGTATTAATTTGTCGAATTTTTTTTTTAAATGCAAAATCAATATGTAGATCAATAAATTTCACTGAGATCATTTTGTAAGGCGATTCCCCTTGGCCTCTGAGAAAACACCTTAGTTTACAGTTGTTCTCGGCACATTGGAAAATCATGGAATAACCAAACAAAATAAAGAAGGTTACTTACGGAAAGCGTTTGTAAAATTTAGCAAATTTCAGCTCAAGTTAATTTATAGAACGATGGAGATTTAAAATATGAGATGCATTACAAGGTACAGAATTTGTGATCGAAATGAGTAAATTTGCCGAGACATAAATAACAAGAACAGGAATCATTGATTGCGAGAAAACCGTAGAAGATTCTAGGAAACTGATATCGGTAAGTATTTTACAGTTGGTTTTTTTTTTTTTTTTTTTTTTTTAAAAAAAGATCGACCTACATATATCGGGATCGACAATCAATTTAATAGAATGTTACTTCCGTTTTACAGATTGCAACCCGAATTATCTCGGAACTAAATCGACTCTGAAGTTAGAAGACGAAGGCGCAGAAATAATCATCATGAGCGAGGTAGGTCACCTTAAATAACATTGTTTTGTTTTGTTTGTATCGCTTTACTATTAGATTACAAATTATATACTTCTTGCAAATTGCAGGGACCCAGATTAGATCCCTGCTACTTGATCAGCTGTTGATAATCATACAGTACATGTAAAGCAAGAGAAAAAAAATACGAATGAGTTCTCATCGATTTTTTTTTTCTCAATACGTTTAAAGAAAATTAATTATTTTTTTGTACATATTGATTAGCTTGTAACAATACAACCTACACACCAATTTCTGGTTTTTAAAAATATATATATTTTAGTCGATTAAATTAATGTTCACTTGCATGCATTTGATTAACTGGGTAATAGTAGTGTTTTATTCTTGAATTAGATGTCTGACCATGAAGAGTCTGTGCTGGACCATTTGATGAGTAACATGACAACATTTAAGAAACAAAGAACCCCAACTGCCAAAAAGATACATAAAATTTAGTGATGAGGATTTTTCTGATAATGAAGAGGAAGTATTCTCTTTTCTGATTTATCTGATGAAGAGGAATACATTTTGGATGATATCACTGAAGAAATTGCAATGTTACGGAGCATGATGATCAAGACTTCCAACTTCTTTCTTTGCTCTGTAACATCCGTATTTCAATAAGAGTATTCATGTTAGTGCTTGCTGTGATTTGCACCAATAATAGATGATGAATCCAACAACTTTTGAACATAATTTCAGATGTGATGCTAGCAGAACACATTTTATATACCATTTGACATATATGCATTTAACAGTTGTCCAAAAAAAAACAAAAAACTAAGGAACCTTTGTGACGGTGCTTACCACTTTCATTGTCATCGTTGTTTAGGGGCCAATAAAATGTTGATTGTGTCATCTGTCTAAAGAAATTTTGTCAAACACCATTCAAGAAACCAAAAACTTCTTTCTGGAAATACCTGTTATAAATCTACTCCACAATCCATTATTTTTCAAGATGGATTTTTTAAAGCAAAATGCAAGAGTGGTTTAACAGAAATATAGCTGGTGGAACTTATAAGGACATCTGTGATGGGACTGTAATTTCAGCTAGAAATTATCTTAGCTCAACAATGATGTTGGGAAGGACAAACACAAATGCTGAAATATTTATCTTAAAGTTTTCTAATCTATAAAGTATTTCACTGTAAATATTGCCAATGGATTTATTGTTAACAAAAGAAAAGTGAAATATAATGTTTTGCCTAAATTGTACCTTTTCTATTTTTTTTCTAAGACCAACATTACGCCTCACCAATTTTTCTAAGTCCAACATTACGCCTCACCAATTTTTCTAAGTCCAACATTACGCCTTACCAATTTTACTAAGTTCAGCATTACGCCTGATACAAGAATTACGCCTGGCCCAAGAGGCGGAAAATGACACGTATTCCGTGTGTGCAAAGAGCAGGAATACGTGTCCTGCTCATGTACGCCTGGTAAAGACACGTAATTCTGAATTCCGTCTAGAAACCAGCTGGTTTCCATGTCTCATCCAGCTGGTTTACGCCTCACTTGTTCGTACGGGTTGGAAAAACAAGCCAAAATTTGGGGAGACCCCAGGTGCATTTTTGGTACATGTGCACTCTACTTGCATATTACATGTAATTTGTTGACATAATTTGTGAGCCATGGGCATATGAAGTGTAATTAATTAGCCCCTGGAAAACTGTCCCCATGTTCATGTTTTTATGGATTGCATGTATATGTGTACCCTCTCGGCACATGTTTGGCATTAAAAAAAACTATCCTCTGCCACCTCAGCCAAGTTGGATTTCTTCATAATTAGATAATTCATACCACTATTGTTCTTGATGCAAGTAGGTAATTAGATAATCCATACCAAGAATAGTCTTGATTAGTTATAACAATTGTTTGTTAAAGTAATACAAAGACAAAAACAAAGCTTTTTGACAATGTTTTTTAAGTGATTGGGCTTTCTGGGAGATTCCCAATTTAGCCTAATTGATGCTGAAATTCCCAATTCTGAGGGCCCAAGCCCCCAATCCCAAAGTACTGTAAAAAAAACACTGGCAGTAAAAATTATATTTGAAATCAAATACATTTGATACATATATTTATTACTACAAAAATGTTAATGATTCAATAATTTGTTGTATAATGGTTATAACGTAGCTTAAATATTGTACAGGCTAGCAGTCTCTTAAAGACAAAAAGGAAAATGACATGAAAAATTAATTTAAATTTCAATGAGTACTCGACTTTCATTTGACTAAAGCCTCTGACTGTGCGACTTAGCTGTCCGAGTAAAATTAACATCGCTATTTATCATTTATAAGTTGTACAGTTTTTTTTTTTTATTTTAAATGAGAAATTTCAATTTCTTTTGGATAGGTGTGACTGCCATCTGATAACTGAAATTTGATACCAAGCATGACCATATTTGCCAGAAGAGCATCTGTTTGGAGATGACGAAGAATAAGCAGCATAGTGAAATTTAAACAGTCACACAAGGATAAAAGTCCTTCCATCTAGGATTATGGACACATCAGGCCTTAATACATTAAGAACTTGTAATATATGTATTTTTACAAAAAAATTTAGAGAGAACTGCTATTTTGGCATATACAACAACAAATGTTGACATATGTGCATATTTCAAATGACTTCAGTGCTAAGGGCATGTACATGAACGAGGATTGTTAGAAAAGTTTGCGGACACATTGATTTAAGGAAAATTTACTGTGCACTTTGAAAAATGACCTGTCTGAAGAAATAATTTTTTAATAGCTCGGTGTTCTCCAAGACTTTCAATGACATTGCAATTTTCAACTTTGTGTTTTCGCATTGATCATCTATAATTAGCGAAGAAACAGTCATAACCCCTCTAATTTAATTCAAAATTTTGCAACATGCCCTCTTTGAATATTGTAGCGACATGTAAAATATCATTAATTTTTTTGCACTACAACAGTGCAATTTTTTATTTCAAGAAATTGGTCTGATCTTAATATAGCTTTGATTACAAATAGATAACTCTAAGATACATAATTCTTTTTTATCTTTTTAGCTCTTGTGAGCCAAAGGCTCAAAGAGCTAATGCTATGGCCATTTGTGTGGTGTACGTAAACTTTTTAGCTCACCTGAGCTGAAAGCTTAAGTGAGCTTTTCTGATCACCAGTTGTCTGTCGTCTGTCTATCTGTGTAGCTGTCTGTCCATCCGTCTGTAATTTTTTCATATTTTCATCTTCTTCTCAAGAACCACTGAGCCAAATTTAAGCAAAGTTGGTACACAGCATCCTTGGGTGAAGGGGAGTTTGTTAAAATGAAGGACCAACCCCCTTTACAAGGGGAGATAATCAAGAGAAGACAAAAATAGGATGGGGTCATTAAAAAATCTTCTCAAGAACCACAGGGCCAGAAAAGCTGAAAGTTATGTGGAAGCATCCTGGGGTAGTGTAGATTCTAAATTCTTCAAATCATGGCCCCCAGGGGTGGGGCGGGGCCACAATAGGAATCAAAGTTTTACATTGAAATATATAGGCAAAATCTTTAAAAATCTTCTTCTCAAGAACCACTGGGCCAGAAAGGCTGAAACTTACGTGGAAGCATCCTGGCGTAGTGTAGATTCTAAATTCTTCAAATCATGGCCCCCGGGGGTAGGGCGGGGCCACAATAGGGAATCAAAGTTTAAAATTATATAGGCAAAATCTTAAAAATCTTCTTCTCAAGAACCACTGGGCCAGAAAAACTGAAACATATGTGGAATCATCCTGGGATAGTGTAGATTCTAATTTTTCAAATCATGGCCCCCGGGGGTAGGGTGGGGCCGCAATAAGTATTACAAGGGAGGGAGGGTCTGGTGAAGAACAGCAGGGCCAAAGTAACTCAGGGGAGCGTTGATAGAATATGGGCCATAACTCAAGAACCCCTTGGCCAATTATTGTCAAATTTGTCACAGTGTATCTATGGCCCAAGGGCTCCCGTTTATAGTAAACTTAGGGTTGTGACCCTTAAACAAGGGGAGATAATTAGGTAAATAAAACCAAAAGTACTGGTTGCTAAAAAATCGTCTTCTCAAGAACCACTGGGCAGATTATCACCAAACTTTCACAAAAGGATGAGGATATATTGTAGATTAAAATTTGCACAGGGAATCGCTCTGAGACAAAGGGCTTGGTCTCAAGGTCACTTCAAAGTTGACCAAAAATTACATTTATTAAAATGTTGATATTTTGCTTACTATAAGGACTAGGGTCATCAAATCTTGTCAGTTGATGCATCTAAGGACCTCGTATCATGTTGACTCAAAAGTAGTTCATGGTTACCTACTTTTAAAATTTTGCAGCCATTCTTTTTC